GAGCGCAGGAACCAGTCCTTCCTGCGGCTGTCGCCACCAGCTGGAATAGCAGCCGGCCGAGCCCGTGCGCGCCGCAGCGCAGCGCAGCGGCCAGGGGGAGCGGGCGCCCTAGTCTCCCCGCGAGCGCCCAGGGTCTGGACCCCGCCGCCGCCTCTTCTCCCCTCCGAAGTCGCCCGGGGGGCGACCCCTCCCAGCAGGATCCCGAGATCCGGAGGAGGGAGGGGGCAATGGCCTCACCTCATTTGGGGCGAATCTGGGATGGGGGGAGTGTCTCCCTCTCTCCCAGTTCCCCGGGGTCTTTCCTCGACCCCCATTTCCTGGGGTGGCCCCTCTCGGATCTGCCGCCCAGGGTGACCCCGCCCCTGCTCTCCCGCAGGTGTTCCACGTGTCCATAGCATTTGCGTCACAATGACCTGGCTGACAGGTGGGAGCGGCAGCGAATGCCCCAGGGTACTGTGCTTAGTGTGTGTTATTTGCTTCCACTATAGATTTCCGTGGCTTTAGGGGACAGAAGACTTCATGACTTCAATGCCAAGAAAAGTTACAGAGGCCTGTACCTGGAAATCAAGTTTGGACTTAAAGGAAAAACAAAAACAAAACCTGTGTGTGTGTGTGTGTGTATGTGTGTATGTGTGTATATATATATATATACATATGTATATATATATATTTCATTCCCATATAGTCATATATCATTTATACTTAAGGATGCTTACAGTAATTTCATCTTCTCATCCTTTGTCATCAGGAAAGAACCAACCTGCAAGTGATCACAGTGAAAAAAAGATATTGTAATAGTTGCTTCCTAAAATCATCTAGGCTGAAAAGCAGTCCTAGTGTGCTATGACTCATCCCTAGTTATGTTATATATTCATTTAAAAGTTCATTGAATAGTCACTGATTGAAACAAGTTAACAGGGTGGAATGAAAGATGGTTATTGAGTAATGATGCAAATAAATCTGAAATCCACAGCTAACATTATGTGCCAGGCATATGCTTTATACTTTACATTTAATTCTTACAGCAACCCAATACCGTAGGTAAAGTATTACTCTTATTTTACAGATGAAAACACTGCCCAGAGTACTATAAAGGCATTCAGCAAATAGGATGCTGAACACAAGTTTGAATCCAGGGTTGTCTGAACCAAGAAATTTAGCTTACTCTTAAGATAGAAAGGTTTCTGGACAAGATGGATAGAGAAGAAGTATAGGAAAAGATGCTGTTGTTTTAATAGAAAGGTACTAAGATGGTACAGCTCCAGAAAATTTTTATAACTCTAAAGGTGACATTATTCTTTGGATATATTCTTTGAGGATTCTGTTGGTCACAGATAATTTGAGCCTGTCCTACTAGGGCACAAAATATGGAGCTAAGCAAATATCAAGTTCTTGAGGGGAGGATATGGCTCAAGCAGAAGAGTGCATGCTTGGCATATAGGAAATCCTGGGTTCAATCCCCAGTACCTCCTCGAAAAATAAATAAACCTAATTACCTCCCTCTACCAAAAAATGATTGAATCCCATTAAAAAATCAAGTCCTTAATAAATGTTTATGAATAAACAAATACTGAATGAATGTGGTCTACAAAACAGCAAAGTGACAAAAAGCTGAGATTCAGGAGAAATTTTGGGAGAGAAAAACATTGCTCTTATGTATTAGGTTTTTATAAAAAGCGTTCAAACTAATCTATTGACAACACAAGCCAAATGATTATTCTGGTTGTAAAAAAGAAAAAGGGAGGAAACCTTTAAAATGAAGAAAAAAGTTTTCCTTACAAAAGAAAGATGATTAAGATATTTTGTTTTAAAATATTTGATTCCAAGAACCATTAACTTATTTGTAAAAACCTAGTATCAGGATGTAAAAGAAACAGATTTTTTTTTTACCAGAATGAAATGCTATTTCTAACATAGTAGGTGCTCAATAAATGTTGGCTGATTCTATCAGTTAGTTAATCAAAGCATTGAGAGAGAAATAGATCACAAAATTTCCTGATTCTAATGTTCTCCTTTCTACCATTGGTGATCTACTAGTGCAAGAAAACCCTGTTTATCAAAGGCTGGCTTTGTGGCAGATTCTTACATGTGTTAAGGTACCAAATCTAGACATCTAGAGCCAGCAGAATATCAGGCTGCTTATGTGTTCAAAGTACCTCCTCAAACTGCAGATGTTGAAACACAAGCACTGGGGGAAGTGAGCAGGAAAGCTGACTTATGGAACTAATTACTCAGTTTTCCCTTTACAAAAGGCAAGAGTGGAAACCTGGGCTGTGAGTCTAACAACCTAGCATGGAAGATAAAAGTGGCTTCTGAGAGAAGTCTAAAAGTGAACAGGCATGTGATACTATCTAGTCAACATGGCATTGAAATTATTTTTGTTGTCCTAACATTTGGGATAACATTTGAGATAACATTTGTGGAAGGAAATAATAAACTGGTGCTCATTCTATGTTGTGGCAATGAGTGTTTTACCTTCTCATTTTAAAAACTGCTCCATCTAGAACACTTCCAGTGCTTCTGGATATCAAGTTGTTTCAATCTTGCAGAGCACCCACAAGGTATTGGTAAGAACTGGAAACAATTTCAGAGAGCGGCTACTGAAATGATGGAATCTGAGATTGTGAAAGAAATAATGTGCATTTTCCAGAGTGTCACAGGATCACAAAGAAACTTTTCCACAGAAAAGAATCCTTATATATTCAATGATTTTTTTTTGAGGGCTTCCCAGGTTCCAGATGTGTTATTAAGACTATGTGAATTAGGAACTGTTAGGCTGCCACTAACAGAGACCCAGAATAATAGTGGGTTAAATGAGTAGAGGTTTATTTTCTCTCACATAAAAGGAATTGTAAAGTAGGCTGTCCAGGGCTGGAATAGCCTCTGCTAGGTTCTTGGGCTGTTGCCCTCCTCTCCTTAGACTTCACCATTCTTAGCAAAGCAATATTATTTAAAGGTAAATAATAGGAAACGTCCTACATTGCTGGTGGGATTCAGTAAAAGGATGCAGTCACTTTGAAAAATGGTCTGGCAGTTCCTCAAATGATTAACGTACAGTTACCATATGACCTAGCAATTCCACTCCTATGTATGAATCCAAGAGAAATGAAGACCAATGTCCACACAAAAACTTGCACATATATAGTAGCATTGTTCAAAATAGTCAAAAGGTGGAAATAGTCCAAGTGTCTCTCAGTGGATTGATGAATAAACAAAATGTAGTGCAATGGAATATCACTGAGTCATGAAAAGGAATGAAATACTGATACATGCTGTGACTTGGATGAACCCTGAAGACATTATGCTAAGTGAAAGAAGTCCATCTGTTATGTGATTCCATTCTAATGAAAGTCTAGGATAGGGAATCTATAGAGACAGAAAACAGATTGGTGATTGCTTAGGGCTGGTGAGAAAAAATATATATATATCACAAATATATGCAAATAAATTTATATATGATATATATATAGATTATCCATGTAATATAATATATTTTTAATGTTCTGAGTTTTCCTATGCTTTCAGCCAACAGGGGCAAGTGAGGTAAAATGCCCTTGTTCCTCTTGGTGAATGGGCACCATAATGCAAATATATGCTTCCATTCATTCAGCTATTTATAGTTTCCTACAGCTCTGAAATCCTTTTATTTTCTGACTCATGTTTGACAGCATCGTTGGTACTCACGGTACCTGTCCTATCATAAGATGCTAAGATAGTGCTTAAGCTATTATTATTATCAATGCATTGAATAAGCACTATACATATAAATCTCTGCCAAGTTCAGCTCATTAATAAGAAAAACACTTTTTCTTCTGAGTTGCTAGGAGATTAAAATTAGATAACCTATAGGAATAAATTTTGAAATAACTAATCTTTTAAAATTATTATTAAATTTGTTGTCTGATTTTTACTGGTGATGGAAATTTAAGGAAGGGTTAAGCTAAATTTTATTGGCAAAAGTAAAGTATTTATTCCTTGTATCCTGTAATACTTATAGAGGAATTAGATGTAGTCAAGAATCTTGACTAAATTTAGTTTAATTGTTATGGTCAGTTGTGATCTCTACATAGCAAAATAAAGCTTCTATTATACTCCCAGAAGAATTAGTTATATCTTTAAGCAAATTTGTGTGCGGATGTGAAAATAGAACAAATGTTTAATTAATAGCATAATTTTTGTTAATTAAAGTTAACTTCCTTTCCCTTCAAAATTAAGGCTACAATATTTTACACTGAGGAGAAAGGTAATTATTATCATTGCCACACCAGCTTCGATTTCTGTATAAATAATGTGGCTCCCCACCCTCCCACCCCCACTATCACTCATTGGAACTTCTGCAAGAAAAATGCTGATGAAAGCATCAAAAAGGAATATCTGGGGGGAGGGTACAGCTCAGTGGTAAAGTGTGTACTTGGTATGCATGAGGTCCTGGGTTCCATCCCCAGTACCTCAATCTAAAATATAAACAAACTAACAAACAAACCTAATTACCCCCTCACTCCAAAAAATGAAACAACAACAAAAAAATTTTTTTAAAGGAATATCTTATTCACTGCAGGGGGAGAATTTTGTCTGTCGTTTGTCATCTAGTGTAACCCTGCTTCTGACTAGGAACTGTGCTAGACTTTGATCAAACCCTAGCCCAGAGTTCATGTCTGTGCCCTGGTCTTGGCAGACATAGGGCTAATGACCCCCTCAAAGGGTCACTATCCAGTGAACAACAGGGCTTAACTGAAAGAGTAGGACGGAACTCTCTAGGTCTTTGGTATCTCTTTCTCTGTACACAGAAACAGCTCAGGAGAATCACTAAGAACTTAGGTGCAAATAGTAAGGGTCATCCAGGTAAAGCGCGAGGCAAACATTTGGTTTCATCATGGAGTAAGAGGCTGAATTAGAGCCATAACCGGTATTTTCTAACTCCCAGTCAGATGCACTTTTCCTCTTCTACTTTTAACTCCATCCCTAAATTGCTTTGGCAGAGACTGTTAATCATTTCTCAGTATTTATTATTCCTTTTTTTTTTCTACAGTAATAAAAGTTTCAGTTGAGCACATTTTGCCCAGCCAAAGGCTGTATTTTCTAGCTCCCTTTACTGCAGGGAGTGGCTTTGTGACCAGGTTCTGGCCAACAGGATATGACTGCAAGATATGCATATAACTTTTGGGTCATCCCCTTGAAAGAAACACACCCTCACCTTTGCCTTCCCCCTTTCCCACTGGTTGGATCACTATCGCCCTGCAGGTGAGGGCAATATTTTGAGGATGGCAAGGAGCCTGGATCCCTAACTGTCTGATATGCTGTACTGCCCTGGTCCTCTTGAGTGAATTGTTTTATGAGAAGGAAATGAAGTTCAATATTGTTTCAACCACTGCGTTTTTGGATATTATT